AATGTCAGCTAGCGTAATTTGGGAGAATATATCTAGTAAATTGTGGTAGTTACTGGGGAGAGAACTACGATACTTAGAGCGCTCATGATCGGTAGAGAAGACTTAGGCAAATTTATAGAAAACGTAGCGGAAAGGATTTCGACAATAGGGGAAATCATAACTCTAGACCTCCTTAATCATGTCTCCTATCCTTATCCTTGTTAATTGATTTTTACTGCTTTCTAGTATTTGTTAGTTATTTAGATAAAAATAAATATTATAATCTTTATAATTAGGATATTGTTTGGACTTGTGTTTCATAGCGATATTGAACAACTGTAGCTAAGCCTTAGTTCTCTATGGGATTCGACTCCAGACTTGTAAACCGGATTATATTTGCAACGACCGCTAGTCCTTTTTATAAGGCATAGTTGGGCGTGATCAATAGACCCCTCATCCGGCCTATGACCTACTAATCTGTAACTGGACCAACCTATTAATTTAAGGAGCTTGGAGCAGGTTGAAATATTTTGACCCATTGAACCGAATCGCCCCCGAACGATAGCTAATCCGCAGGTCAACCAGCCTAGCCCGATAGCTAACCCGTAGGTCAATCGGTGCGACCAGATAAGATATTATTTAAAAAATAATAAAGACCTATTTAGGAAAAAAAGAAGAAGAAGAAATTAAATCCATTCAACCTCCATTTCTCATTTCCCAATAGTAGATTTATGCTAAATCCAATTCCTAAACCCCCTCTCTCCCTTCTCATTTTTCTTATGTATTCTACTACTAGATATAAAAATAGTTTAATTCCATATGTTTCTGAAAATTTAGTGTTAATAAAGTATGTTTTTTCCATTTTTATTCTAATTGACTTCATGAGATTATGTATTACTTTCAAGTTCGTACGTGTATAAAATATGAAGTATTTTATCCTTTGTTAACTAATAGATCTTTGTATTGCAAATAAGGAATGAGAAAGGGGACTGACTAATTGGTTTTGCTTCAAAGATAAGTGTAAAAAATTCAGTTCAAGCGGAACTCATGGCTCTCTATGAAGGACTTTATATTGCAAATAACAGGAAATTCTATCCGTTGGAAATAGAGACTGATGCTACACATGTAATCACTTTTATTCGTGATGGATGCAAAACTTATGAATCTATTATAAATTATTGCTGGTTACTTCTAACACAAATGAGCACCGTGGAAATGCATCACCTCTTCCGGCAGGGGAATGAAGTAGCTCACAAATTGGCAAAGCATGGAATGACCAGCTTAATCTCAAATAAATTAGCATTTTAGTTATATCCACCACCTTTTGTCTTGGCCAGGATGCTGGCAGACAAGTGTGGTGAAGTTTGTGAAAAAATAATTTCTGTTAAGTGTTGTAGAACTCTAGCTTCTATGGGTAATCGCATGCCATGCATGGGTTATCATATATCCTTGATGGTAATAAATAAGTATCTTTATGTTCACAAAAAAAAAAAAAACTAACAGATCTTGTATTTGTTTTATTTTCTTCTTATGTATTTTAAAATTTTAAGTTATTTAATTTCAAATTCAATTTGTTAGAAATAAAATGTACATTTTTCTTAAAAATTATAGAATTCAAACCTGAAAAATTAGTAAAAGTAAGTATTTCATTGATTGTTATAGTTTTGTCCAACTAATTTTTACGTTTTAAGGATTTTACTTAATTATAACACATAATTTAAGGTATTAGATTTATTTTTATAATTTGATTCTACCCATTAGGGTCCGAGTTGAGGGGCATGGCCGGGTCAAGAGATTTTAGTTAACGGGTTGGACCCGAACCAATCCATATAAGAAAGAATCAAATTGGCCCGATTAAAGACACAAGGGCCAAGAGTTAACAGGTCTGGGTTCGGATTAGGTGGGCCCATTAGTGTGAAGTTTGATTATGATCAAAATGGCACGACATAGCCATTTTTACGGGTGGTTATTGAAAAGGGATTTTTACATACCTCTACCATATGCCAAACCTTATTACCTTCATTGTTTAAGGATTGTGTTAATTACATTTAAGCATACCAAATTACCATTTATATATCATAATTCAAATTAAGGGTATAATTATTGCTTCATTTATTTTAGGCGTGATTTTAGGAGCATATATTCTCCAATTTTAGTTTATCTCCCTCTCTCTCCTCCCACCCCCCACACCCCCACGATTTACCTTCAGTTAATCCACCCCTCTCCCACCCACGATTTACCTTCAGTTTTTTTCCCCATTTTCGTATACATGTAATACATGTGAAATGTGGATCCACAGACATTGTTCACCTTGGAATGAAGAGGAGCCTGGAGAAGATTGTTGGAAGTGTGGTAACTGTAGGGAATGGAGATAGTTGATGCTTAATAGGTATCACTGCTTGGTATCACTGCTTTTGCCATAGGTATCACTGTAGGGAATGGAAATGTGGATCCATCATTTGGTATCACTGCTTTTGCCATCAATAGGAAATGATTTTCTCGTGATAAAGGAGTAGTTGGGTTGTGCAATTGTAAAGGAAATGATTTTCTCGTGGAAGACAATAAATTTGACATTGTGGATGCAATTGTAGTTTATTTGTAGTTTTTATGTAGAAATTTTGTAGATGAAAAGCAAATTTTGTTGTCAACATTTTTTTTTGACACAAGATTGTAGTTTAATTGTAGTATAAATGTAGTAATTTTGTAGATACTCTTAAAAACAATACAACTTTATACAATACTTAAACTGATTTGTAGTTTATTTGTAGAAATTTTATCTACAAGATATCTACAAACTGAATACATTGAATTTTAATATCCCAATTCTCATTTCAATTGTAGCATAATTGGCATTTTCGACATAATTGTAGAAGACTTGTAGAAGTTTTAGTCTTCCCAATCTACGATTTATCTACAAATTATCTACAATTTATCTACAACTTATCTACAATTTCTGGAAATATGTCTTCTTCTTCTTCTTCTTCTTCGACGAGTTTCAATGTGAAATTCAGTCAAAACCAAGTCTAATCTTCACCAAAACCCCTCAAAATTGAGATATAAACTCCTAAAACATATTCCGAATTATTTACAACATCACTCAATCCAAACAAATAATGATTTTTGAAAACTCAAATTTGAATTCAAAGCTTTCAAGCTTTTTAATGGCTATCAATGGTGGAAAATATATGGAAGAACAAATTTTTTCAACTTTGAGATCTCTTTCCGTTTCAAATTTCGTATTTACTGTTGACAGAATCACACGCAGATTTGGTGCCTTCATTTTAGCGCGTTTTTAATGGTAAAATCTACCTATTTTTGGATTGGTATATAGTTTGTAGTAAAAGTGTGAACAACACGGGTAAATAACAAATATGAACATTTTTGGTAATAAGGTTTGGTATATGGTATAGGTAGGTAAAAATCCCTATTGAAAAATAGTTAGTGTTTGCAAAGTTATTGAAAAGTAGCCACTATTTAATACTGAGATAAATTGTGGCCAAAAGTATCCTAACCGAAACATGAAAGGTTCTAGCATAATATACAGGATTATGAAACTCCTGCATATAAACTTCTAGCATGTTATGTTGCAACTCTAGCACATCATAAATTCTAACACATTATGCTAATTTCATATGTAAAAATTTGAACTCCAACATATTATGTTGGAAATTTTTCGAATTTTTAAGGGTGTTTTGTTCATATTTTATTTTCACATAAAAAATAGTTAAATTTTGATTAATTTTAAACTTATGGCTAATTTTTAGTTCGGTAAAGGGTATGATATGTCCCTCTACTATTAACAATTGTTTAAAAATGTCCTTCGTTATACTATCGGGTCAAAAAATTCCTTACCATTACACTATCAAACACAAATGCCCCTAAATAGACGGAATAGACACATGGCGTGGATTTAAGGCTCAAGGCCATCTGGTTCTTTTTAATAACCCAAATTGGACCGAATCCGCTCCAACCCTCATACTTGACATCAAAATTTTGACATCCAAATCCAAATCTAGGTTTAACCAGCTCACCATTTTCACCTTTTTCACAACAAATCCGAAAACAATAAGATACTCATTCATATAAACCCACATTGTAAAAATTAATCTTTAAGAGGGATAATCTAGGGAAATTTACCTCAAAATTCATATGTGTGATGGTCATGGAAAGAAGGGCATCTTTTTAGTGTAATTTCGAGCAGATTTCCGGCGTTGTATCTAGCAATTATTAAAATAATTTTTAGTGTAATTCTAGTAACTATATTAATACGAGCAGATTTCTAATTAAGGTCATCAATTTTTTTTATCAATATGAGCAGCTATCTAAAGGTAACAGAAACAATAAAAACCAACTAGCAGACCCGAGAATTTCAGTGGGGACCTGGCTAGGTTCTATTTTCCGGCAAAGTTCAAAAAGGCAAAACCTCTAATTTTTTTAGATCCAACAAATTGGAAAGAAGATAAAGAAAATAAGTAGAAGAAAATGAAGGAAGGGGGTAAGGCGGTGTATTTTTTTTTGTTTTGAAAAAGATAACAAAAGTAATGCAGTGGTATTTTGAAAAAGATTTGCAGTGGTGTTGGCTTTGTAATATTTCCGGCGAGTTTCACCGGTTCCATTCGCTTATTTGGTGGAATGAGTTTGTTGTTTGGACGATGAAACACGAAGAAAAACAAGAAGAGAAGAAGAGAGACGAAGGGGGGGGTGCAGGACAGTGGATGTTAGTACTACAGGAGGAATTTTTGGTGAGCTACCATGTTTTCCGGTAGTTTTGGTGTGAGGTGAGAGAAGAGAAGAGGGCCGTGTCTGGTGGGGTTATTTTAGGGGAGGGGGTTGAGGGTCGGATAACGGGTCGGATAATAAAGGTATTGGGTATTTTAAATTGGGGATGGGTGAACCAAATCTGAGAGTGACACGTGTCTATTCCGTCTGTTTAGGGGCATTTTTGTTTAATAGTATAACGGTAAGGAGTTTTTCGACCCGATAGTATAACGAAGAACATTTTTAAACAATTGTTAATAGTAGAGGGATATATCAGACCCTTTGCCCTTTTTAGTTAACAGTTATAAATCTGGTTATTTCTGATATTTTTCCCTCGATTCTAAGAGAGCTAAACTTTAAATTTTTTATAAACTTGGTATATTTCTTAAATCGGGGTCCTAAAAAAGACTGTTTGTGTACTTCGCCCCCATAGAAGTTTAAAGTACCTTTATTGCCATAGCTAGACCGGAATTCTGAAGTATATTTTAGGGTCATTTGAAGGATTGGCCCCCATTTTCGGTAAGGTTTTGCCTGCCTCCATCTTCAAACAACAGAGAACGTAATCAGCTGTAAGTTCCCCCTCTGTCTATCCTTCGCCATTCCTTCGAAACCCTAATTGCCTCTTTAATTTTTTTTAATTATGGCAATAATGTGCTAATATACCTTTGAGTATTACTGTACTGGTAGTCCAAATTTATGAACATTTTTCTTGATTGAAAATGAGAAAAAGAATAAGGCACAAACTTTTATTTCTTATCCCTCCGTATTTGATATCAATTTATTTAACATGCCCATTAAATCTAAAATCATTTCTCTCTCTCTGGCCATTCAATTAAAGTTGGTCTGCTAGAGAGTAAGTTAATAATTGATAAAAATCACTCTAACCATGATTTGTTATTATTAGTGAGTACATTGCATTTGGTCCAATCTTGGCGAAGAGTCTTTTATTCTTGTTAGAGATTTATAGACCAAGTAGAAACTGCAGAGAATTTGTAACGTTGGAGAACCTAAATTATTGAATATTGGATTGAGACAAGCCATAGTGGTGCGACATTGATAACGAGGATTCATATGGCCGTTCCTGACTAGCTTGGGATTGAGCATAGTTGTTGGGCACTATATGGCCGGCCTGCTTTGAAGAATTCATGGTTTATATATGTGTCGGACCGGTGAGAGTGCAGAATAATGATTGATTTCACTGTACCCATCGTAAGGGGCGGATGCAGCATAGAGTTACCGGGTTCAACTGAACCTAGTACTTTGACGCGGAACATAAATTTATATGTAAAAATCACTAATATTGTAATAAATAATAGTTATGAACCCATAAATTTAAAATATAATGGGTTGAATGCTAAAAACTTTAAATGTTGAACCCATAGAATTAAAATTCTAGATCCACCTCTGCCCATCGTAGCCCACCCCATCTACCTATTGTCCAAGGTCAATTGTTGCTTCCTCTCTCGAGATTGCAATCCATATCAAGTCGGAATGGGTCAGAGAATACATTTAGCTATGAGGTTCTTAGTTCAAGTTGTCCCATGACTTCTCTCTCTTCATTAGCATCTTTAGTTGTATTCAAGTAGCTGAGCTTTTTCTTTTCTTTTCTTCTCTTCTCTTAATATGATACACCTCCGTCTGTGTTATTGATAGAGTGGATAGGTTATTTCTGGAAATCCCGTTCATGTAGAATTTAGTAGGAGTAGCATCTTAAAGAGATTATTATGTTTCATGTCGAATTCAAATATATTTTAAGAAGTTTATAATGTTTCATTATTTTCATGTAGAATTTAGTAGGAGTAGCATCTTAAAGAGATTATTATGTTTCATGTCAAATTCAAATATATTTTAAGAAGTTTATAATGTTTCATTATTTTCATGTAGAATTTAGTAGGAGTAGCATCTTAAAGAGATTATTATGTTTCATGTCGAATTCAAATATATTTTAAGAAGTTTATAATGTTTCATTATTTTCATGTAGAATTCATTCAAAAAGGAATTCTTATCTTTTCTCTATCAGTTCCATTTGAAATATAGGTGGGGTGTTGTCCGTAGTAGCCCTGTAGGGAATGGCTTTTACTAATCATGTAAAGGATTAGATAAAAAGATCTTTCAATGCATCACTTTTTCCTGCTTGGGAATTCTAGTTGTATATATTACATTCAGCTGCATTTGAGTGGGGCCGTTATTCTTACTTAAACTGATTACACTCTCAGAAGTCAAAACTGGATAAACATGAAAGGGAGACTTGTATCAAAATGTTAGTTTTACGTTTGCAATTGATGTAGTCTACTTTGATAAAGTGATGTACTATCAAGGAGTTAGATTCACGGAATTGAAATATATCATCAATTAGTTTGAAGAGGATGATTCTGTTTTAGGCTGTTGCTCACTTGCTCTTGTCTAAAACTAAGATATATTGGTATCTTCTCAGCGGCTACTCATTGCTTCCTTGTAAGTTCAATATATAACCACAGTGGGATGTTCTCGATCCAAAGTGGACTTCTTTGGGTCGTAGCTTGACTGGTTTGTGTGTAATGGCTCCCCACCACATTGCCCTTCGTTATCCATTTTTATTCCACGATCGATTTTGTTTCCCTAAGTACCAGTGATAAGGGAAAACAATTTCATGCCTATTTCCTCTTTTCGCACTGCTACCCCCACAAAAGAAAGAAAAAAGAAGGAAACGAAAAGGGAAGAGTAAAGAATGAAAAGTGAAAAGTCGCAGCGTCTTCTTGATATTGTAAATTTCTTGATTTTCAGATGTACTGGCTTCTTGACTGCAATTGCAATTTTAATTTTATTGTGGTGAGTGAAGGGGAGGAGAGAATGACGAAACATCTACTGTGGTAGAGATTAATTTGAGTTCTCCCCTGTTATTGTATCTTCATTGGTTTTCAATAGTCAAAGACGAAAATATGGCCCAAGCTTTTTTCCAGTTAGTTGATTAATTTCCCGTCTGTCTTAACATATGCAGTAGCTGCAGTTACACAACTCAAAACATTAATTCTTCGAGTTTCCTTAATTGGACTAAAATGAACAACAAGGAATCAGAGGTATACCTACCTGAAGTTGGAAGCTCAAATCAGTTAGAGACTAACAATTCAAGTTACGTTTCTCATGTCAAGAAGCTACTACATCGACGAATGCTGGTTGGTATAAGTGATGGGAGGTTCTTTCTTGGTACGTTTTATTGTATTGATAAGCAAGGAAACATAATTCTTCAAGATGCAGTTGAGTACCGGAGCACCCGAAGATCTGCTCCTTCCCCGATGGAACAACGACTTCTTGGTCTCATTTTAATCCCTTCCTCATGTCGGAAAACATGTCATGTGGATTGTTCTATTGACGAACAGCTGTCCCTAATGTCGCTTGGGGAGCAAATTTCATAATTAGTTGTGGCGATAAACTTTATAAAAGTTGATCCAATGATGAATATCTTCCCCGTTTGATTTAATCTGACAATTCATTATGTAGTTTTCAAGTATTAACTTTGCTGATGTTATATTATCATGTGTTTTTGTTCTCAGCTAGAAAGATGCTGTTTTGTTCTCTCCCTTATTGGGGTTGCAAAGGATTGGTTGGTTCATGTTGTGACTTGTGTTGTGTTTGTGTTCATGTTATGTTATAATCTGGATTTCGTAATTGTGGCTTAGCATCAGTATTGACATGATTTTGTGTCATAGCAAAAGACAATCTTTGGATCGTTTGGTTGGGAACAAATTATCCTGGGATTATATTGACATGATTACAATATAGAGATGAAATAATGATGGGATTATTTAGTGGATATAGATGTTTGGTTCATTAGACTATAAATAAGATATACAAGTTGTAATATAAAACGTGTATTTGATTTACACTAGATAAGTTGGAATAAATTTTTATTTCTACTTGAACTTTTATTTCTAATTTTAACCTTAAATTGTTTAATAGACTTTGGAAGAAGAGACTTATAGAAGGGCATTTCTGTTATTTTAGTATTTGTCTTGGGATTAAATAATCTCAAGATTGCTGTGATTAAAAAATTTAACCAATGTTGAGAAATAAGATAATTCCACATTTTATCTCGGGATTGTTATCCCTTATCCCACCAATTGAACAACCTAGTACGAGAGGTTGAAGGACGTCCGCTAGGATAGCAAAATACGTGGGGTATTATCACTTTTAGCCCGCGTTAGAAATTATTTATATTTGATAGCCCAAAAAGTGTATAAAATTTGTATAATTTTTGTATATAACACACATAACGTATATATATACAAAAATATATATAAATTTTATACATTTTTTTCGACTATTATTTTTACTGCGATTATACAATATCATTTTTCCAAATAATACACGTGAACGATTCAACTTAGTATTGGCTGTTTTTACATCTCGAGTGTTTTTTACTTTGCCGTGCTTTTAATATGTGATGAACTGTCTTAGTTTTTAACCCATTCATTGATTTTTTTTATTGAAATAAAATGACTTATAAAAAACGTTTTGTGCTTTATTCATCTCATTTTTTTTTTTTTGAAAAAGGTTTGTTCATCTCATCTTTTCTTGGTGTCAGTAACATGTCTCACAGTCCCAGTATAAGACATAAGCTATATGAGTCCTCTTAATCCCTTCCATTCTACTCAGGACTATCTTATAATTAATTTTTTTAATTTTTTTATTATTTGGCCTCTTCAATTAATTAAAAAATTTCATTATTTCCTTATGTGGTCATGATATTAGGATTGTAATAAATCTCCTTTCCAAAATTTTAAGTTATTATTTCAATTTTCAAGTTTTGAGTGATAGAAATTTGTATAATATTTTAGAACTTTGAATTAAACTACTCAAATTTTCATATTTATCAATAAGGTTTTTGACAACAAGAACCAAAGTAGTGCATTGACACAAATAACTAACTTGGATTCGTGAAATACTAACTGGTCATATACTTCAATTTTTATCTTATAGTACATATGTTTACTAGTTATATATAATAATGATAATATTTTTGGGCATCTAACTCTTGGGGTCAAAGAAAGTTTAGTAGTTTTACCGTTGAGACAACCAACGAAAGTGGTTGGATAGTGGTTCTTATGGTAGTACTATGTACTTTCCTTCACCTCCAGAGATTCATATTAAGGGTATGAAACCAACATTGAGATTGCGAGTGCCGTGCGCAGTGAACAAGTCCTTTGCAATCAATACAAGAAAACAAGGCTATGACGATATTTTATAAATATCGCTATTGATCGCATAAATGTCACAAAATCGTTAAACGACATTTATTTTACATTTAAAATAAATGTCGGAAATTTTCGACATTTAAATTAGTGTCGGCGAATAATTAATGACATTTGCTTTACCACATTTTATCAAATGTCAAACATGTACTCTCGACTCATCTTGCTTGCGACATAAAACATAAATGTTAGGAAAATATGTCTTGTCAGTCGTTTTTTTATTTTTGGTTTTTTATATTAAAACACTATGATAAATTTTAAAATTTCACGTGATGAAATAACTATTTGATACTTCAGAACATCACACACCACAAAAATGAAACAAGTAGCCACATTTGCATATCTTTTTGTACAGAACTACAAACTATGAGTATCAAAAGATTGTAAGGAACGTAACAATACATAATTGTTCTCAAACAAATATAAATTTTCTTTACACATTTCTAAAACAAGTTAAGATCGTCTTTAATCTAAGGGAAATAATAATCAACAGTCAGGGTCAGGATCTTTCTTCAAACTTGGTTTCAAGCATTTTCAATCTTGCCCATGTCCATCTCTAGAGATAGTGTTGGAGAATATTTCTGAAACCACATCTTCCATAATAATTGAACTTCCCATCATATTCACCGGAAAAGCGTAATATCAAAAGGGCCCAATTTCTCCAGATTGATCGGCTAGAAGAGGCCTTCATTGAAACAGATCGTCACCCAGGTTCCGCAACTTATGTCACTAATCTATAAATCCAAACCTGTTGAACTTGTAACTGGTTAAACATAGACGAATGAAAAGATAAATAATACTCCTCTCTTGAGAAAAAAGGATAGCTTAGAAGTTGACAGTAATCCTAAAATTCATAATACCTTGTTGATGTCCTTTCCCATTTCCATATTTTTTTGACTTTGCAGAGAGAAAGATTGAGGAAAGGCAAGAGGAGGTTAGGGTTTTGAGAGAAAAGAATTAAAGTGAGGTCTTTATTAAGAGTTCCTGATTTGTTTTTCGGTAATAGTCTTAAAATTTCCTTAATATCCGTCTATCAAGCTTAAGCTACAAATACGGTAAAATTTCCATTTTTAGTTCTAAACGTCACTAAATTCTTCTTTATTGTGATTTAAAATCAAAAGTCTGTCGTTATTGTTTTTTACACTAATCTGTCATCATCGTTAAATGAGGAGTAATATTTTAAACCACTTTTTTGTCGACATTTACTATCACTAATTAAATTTATAGAATGACTTATTTTCTTCGATAAAGAATGATTTAACAATTAAAAGAATTAATAAAATTTCCAACATTATATGTAATATTGGTAGTTATCGACTAATAATATAACATTTAAAATAACAGTCATTATTCTTTTGATATTTTGTATCAAATGTCATTATTTTTACGATATTTTATATCAAGCGACATTATTATTACGACATTTTGTATCAAATGTCATTGTTTTTACGATATTTTGTATCAAATGTCGTTATTTTTATGACATTAATGTCATTAAATACTTTTTTCCCCGACATTTGTTTCAAATATTACTAAATAAATATCATAGTATCCTCACTTTCTTGTAGTGAATCCAGTAATTGGAAGCGTCAAAAAATTTTGTATGAAGGGGTGATTAACCAACAACTTTGCCGTCAATCGTCTTTGATACTTTCTTACAACTCATTTTATTAGGAAATCATTCCCAATCCCAACTGTTACGATCCAAATTCCATTATAGGTCGTGATGGCGCCCAACATTGTTGCATGATAGAAGGTGAATAAAGAGTAGTTTTCCTAACAACCTATAGCCTCTCAAAGATTAGTACAGACGTCTCCGTACCGATCCACAAGACTCTATTAGACCTGCCCATCACTTGTGAGACCTACGTGAACCTAGTACTCTGATACCATGTTGTCACAACCCAAATTCCATTATAGGTCGTGATGGCGCCCAACACCGTTGCTGAGCAAGCCAACCCTGATCGACTAGTGAGTTCTCATTTATTTTACTAAACAATCCCAATATTTACTTAACTTAAATTTAAAACAGTCGATAAATAACGAATTTATAAAGCAACTGAAACGAAGATGACTAAAGGAAATCATAATTATAGGAGTACAACCCAAAAATAATAGTCTACTAATGCGTGTGCCAGGATCCAGTGTCACAAGTGTGCGGACAACTAGTAGAATGTACAAAAATATAACTATCCTACTGCCTAAAATAGAATAGATAGTAATAAACAAAAGGGAGACCCCGGCAGGCTTCTGAACGGCTTAGAAGGGGCAGCTCACAGTGGAATCTCGGTCAAGTATCAAGAACGCGCACCGGATGGGTAGCTAGATACACTTGCCTCAGATCCTGTACAATTAAGTAAAAAAGTGTAGTATGAGTACATAAAAAATATGTACCCATTAAGTATCCAGTATAACCTCGAAGAAGTAGTGACGAGGGGTCGACTTGACACTTACTAGGGCCAAAACAATTTAATTTAACTGTGATGCTAAGTATGGATGTCATGAATAAATAACAGTTAATAACAGGAAGTGACAAGTTCTTTCATGAATATAATTTTAGTTTCCGCCATTTCAGTTAACAAATTTATATTTCAAGGCATTTTAAGCAGTCAAATCACAGAAAGTACCAAGCAAATAGCATGCGCAAATAATGTTGAGGTCGTATGACCTGATCCAACATAATAATAAAATATGCACTACCAGAGGGTCGAACGACGCAAACCATAGATGCATCTATTACTCCGCTCGCAAATCATACATACGACACAGTCAAATATACATAAACACATCAAACAATCAATCAAGAATTCATCAGGGAAACAATTACCCAAAGAAATGTCAACTTCCCTTTAACGGTCAAGAAAATGATGTTTAAATTTTTTAGGAGTTCATTTGCCAAGGTCGATATGATTTAAGCAATTTAAATTGACAATGAAGTTAGTACAACAAGTAAAGCATGCTTTTGGGTCTTAGGTTACCCAGACCTAAGCATAATAGTAGCTATGCACGGACTCTCATCACCTTGTGCGTATATAGCCCCCACAATTAGAAGCACATATTCAATTATTTCGCCTATGGGGATAATTCCCTCTTAGAGGGTTAGAAAGGAGACTTACCTTGCCCAAAGCTTACTTCCGAGCTCAAGAATCCGCTCAAACCGGAGCCGGATAATTCAAAACTATTCAAGTAGGGTAAAATCTAATCGATATAGGCTCTAAAGTTACTTCTACTATTAGAGTGATTACCCAACCCAAATTACAAGATTCCTAAAATTCACCCCCAAGCCCACGTGCCCGAATTTCGAAAAATTTCGAAGAAAGTCATTACCCATAACCTTAGGATCAAGAATATATAATTTTTAATAGA